CTAGCATTGTGTCACTGCCTTCAGGACAGCAGGATAAAGTTTTGGAAACAAAGCACAAGAAATCTGCCCCTCAAGCCCCAACTATTCACACAATCCCACCCAGCAGTGAATTATGCCACCCATCTCCTGCTATTCTGCATCAAGATACCTTATTTTGGACTCAGAGTGTGTTTGTTAGATGTCTAGTGATACCTGAAAGTAATCATAACTAAGATGAACAGAACTTCTACACCTGCAGAAAAGAAGGAAGTGGGAGAAAATGAATGGAAATGAGAAAGAATGAGAAAAATCAGTGGAAAGTACTGATTTCTACCCAAACTTATGCTCACTGGAGCTCAGTGGTCATATTACTCAGGCCAACAGGAAAACCAGGAGAAAAACTGTTGGAAAGAAAGATCACAGACATGCTGGACAAGGATGGGTGATGACTTTTGCCCCTCAGGTAACTTCTTCTAGATACATAAACACCCCAGACCAAGCACTGAAGTACTTTCCCACCCACAATGAAATCCTGGGTCTTATGTCCAGGATAACCCACTTTTCCTCTAAAAGTCAAAATTGCCATATTTTGTAGATGGATCTCAGACAATGTCAAAAGACCTGAAAATACTTGTGCAGTCAGACAGTTCCCTAATGTGTATCTGTCTGATGAGACTCTAGAATGAGGCCTAACCAAGGAAGTGCTATAAGGAAAACAAAATTGTTACATTTGCCTGATATGTCATGATATGATTAATTACAATAACAAAGTAAGATCACCTTTTATTTCTACCTCATCTGTTCTGGGGGAGGTGTTGTTAGGGCAAGCATTAGACCTAGGAGAACTCTCAGCCTATCACACATTTTAGTAGGATGTCAGAAATCTCCAAGAACAACAGCATTGCACAGGAGCTGCTGATAGCTCCTCAAATGCAAAGATTATTCTATTTTTGATGATATGTGTCTGTCAATCTCAGAGCAAAATTGAGCCCTTAGGGCAAAATTCTTCTCTCAGATCCACACATCAATGGGAGTTCCCCTAATTGAGAAAGAAGAGACTATTGGAGGTGTGAGCTGCTGTGTAGGTCAGGATAGAAAATTTTGTTTGTACTGTTTATTTCTGAAATAGTAAATTTAAAATATAAATGTAATTTTCTGTAATAGAAAAACATTTGAACAAAATCTAGATCTGCCCTACCACACCGCAGAAAAACATACCACATCTACAAACAAACAAATATTTAGCTCAAGGGTTTGGACTGAAAGAGAAGGTAAAATTATGTCTTTAGAAAAACTGCATATATCAAATTCTTCCTCTAAATGTTGAATTTCTTCAGAATGAAAACACTCTTTGTTATAACAGACTCACTGGGGACAAGGTGCTTGAAGATTTCTGTAATCCTTCACAAGGTGAGAAATCACATTCCTAGTGCCTTCAGGCCTTTACAGGCTGTCTGGGCACGTATGTAAAGGAGAAAAGCCTCATTCCACCACGCTCACCATGAAGCATGCCCAGCATATAAAATGGAATTCCTTTGTCCAGAGGGGTTGATGAAGAAGAAGGATCACTAATCTAGAGTAGCCACTCAGCAGCTCTGGTGCCACACTCCCGGTTCTCTACAAGCCAACACTGCATGTAAATTTTAGGTTAAATATATTAAAATATACAGGTACAAAGAAAGCAGCCTGTCAAGGATTTAGGCTTGGAATTGCTGCCAAAGTATCTGAGCCAGGTCTGTGTTCCCTTTACACATGCCTATCCTTGCATGTTTCTTTAATGACAAAATTAATCCCCTCATAGTGAAATGGTAGAGAACCTATACCCCCTTTTAATTCGTAATTCTCTCTGATTTCAAATTTGAAAACTAATAGCAACTAAAATAGTGTTTAAAAGAGTGAATTGGGGCATATATCCTGCAGTGACTCCCTGAACTGGTGTGAATTTCACCTGAAAATTCCAGGCTGCTGGTGTCAGGTTTTAGTGCTGGTGGTCTGATTCAGTCTTTCTCTCTTGCTTCTATTTCATCTCTTTCAACATCCTCCTGCTTGAAAACTTCACTACTCATTAGTCACTATTGAGATCATTAGCATGCAGCCTTGGCTCCCCACAACTACTATAAACAAAGATATAAAGTGCTTTCTCATGTTTCTTGCTGCGGTTTTGGAAGCAAGATGGTAAAGGGACCTACAGATTCAGACAGATACAGCACAAGCAGAACAGCAGCCAGGGACAACACCTTAGGCTTTGGAAAGATGTCATTATTTTGAATTATTAACAAGAAACAATCTAAGTTAGAAACTCCACTAATGTGCCTGTAGGAACCGCATACCCTTAACACAAATGTTTATGAATTAGGTAAGCTTTTAAGTACTAGTTAAATAAATATTCAGCTATAACCCATTCTGCCTGTGGACATGCAGCTAGAAATCTTTGTTATCCTGCTAGAGACACCATGGATATAAAATGGTAACAAGGACAGCTATAAAAACTTTGTATTCTATTTCCACTTGAGAAATGTCAAACTTTATTTTTGTTAGTGTCTCTCTGGAAAATATTTCTCTGGCAGTTTCTTAACCATAACCTGAGAAGAATATTTAATTGCAGGAATAATCACTGTTGAGTATCAAAATTAACTTAATACTCATTCATTTGACTGTGGCAGTACTTCTTAAGTTGACTTGTAAAATTTGTGCAATGAATTATTGAAAAGCCATTATTGAAATAACCTCTTATTTTCTAACATGGCTGCTTGTATTTCTCCATTGAAACACAGCATGCATCTGTTGCCATAGATACCATTATTTTCTGAAATAAACATTACTTTTTTCCTCATTCCTACATCCACATTAAAAAAAAGCTAAACTATGACAAGTTTCCCAATCATATGTATTGTGGGCACAACAGTCTATTTAAATAATAATCTTATTAGGATTAAAAACCTATCTTACCTCAACATGCAGACATTTAGGTGACATGAAAGATGATAATTCTCAAAGTTTATTAAACCAAACATGGCATGCATGTTTACAATCTTAAAATTAGTGACCTTTTTGGGACTCTTGTCATTGTGTAAAATATGAGAAAGAAGAGTTTCACTAAAAAGATTTGGGGGGACAGGGTAAGATTTGTATGTAAAGGAAGTTTCCCACAATGTGCTTCTTTTACCTCTGGTGTTCTAATACTGTGGTCTCTGAACATTTGGAAAGGAACCTTCTATTTCATGGCTGGGTTGAATGTGCGGTAGTTTCATTTGATTAACTGGGCAGTCCTTTCTAGCCTTGTTCTCCGGCAGAACAGCGAGACTGGATAATTTTCAAAAATCTCGCGTACAATTTCCAAAAATAGCACTCAGTTCAAGGACTTTAGAAAACTGTCCACAGGGACGAATCTTGTCATGTCTGTGCTACAGTAGCCTCATGCACTAGTTCTGAAGGAAACACACTGTCACAAAGAAAATATCTCATACTTCTAGCACTAGGGAAGAAACTAAATTCCTAGAGATTGCTTCTCTGCCAGCTATTATACATGCAAAGCAGGTGAAAAAAGGACAAAATAAAATAAAATCACAAAAAATAAAACACAAATGTCCACATGAGTGAGTAGAAAAAGCATCATACAGGTTTCGTGCTGGTCCACGGCTGACTATGATCAGGCAGGTATGTAAAGATAACAAATGCCTATAACTGAGACCAAAAAAAAGCAGCCTGGAATGTACAGGATATAAATCAGCAGTGTTCTTGCATCTTTAGTAGAACCACACTGAAGTGTGCAAGCAGCACTCAGCCTTTATAGTGTTGTAAAAGATGTGGATATTCTAAACATTTATTCTGCTTTTTAAGAACCCTTCCTCAAAGTACAAGAAACAAAGAGCAAAAGCAGGCCAAATCAATCCCCAAGCACCAAAGCAGAGATGTACCTTGCAGCATACCTCAAAACACAAGGGATTGGAACTATCTTGAACCACTTTAGGAAGTAGTCCCCAATGGGAACACCTTGACAGCAGCCATCTTTATAAACTGGAAGGTTTTCAGGGTAATAATTCTTTACTGACCAATCAAAATATCAAGAGAGACTTGGACTTTTATGTAGGTGAGTCTAGAGACAGGCAAGGCTTTAAATACTGAAACCAATTTATCCAATATCAACAGAAAACAAACAGTTACTGTTGAGAACAGGATGGCTACCAGCAAGAGACTCTAACATCTGGGTCCACATAAGATGTAACTCTATTTGCAATACATTATGGTGTTCTGTAGTAGTTTACAGATCCTAGCTAGCACTACTCTCCCTTCACACAGGAATAAAGACACCTAGATCAAGGAGGTGTATCTTGCTAGGCCCTATCAACTCCATAGATTGCAGCCTAAGTGAAAGGCTGAGACTAGACTAGCTTGTGACCTAGATGTGCTGTGGTGCATGATAACAATTATGGCTGTTACTTTTTCCAAATTCTGTGTTGCTCAGGCAGTGAGGGACCTCCATTATCAATTTTGAGGAAACTGAAAACTAATGCAATCTGGCTTTGTTTTATTTAGAGAAACACCCCTACAGATTACAGTTACCAAACAAAACTGGATATAGAGCAAGTATGTATATAAAAGGAATAAAGCAACATCAAGTAACTCACTCTGTGACCCAGAGAGACATTGATAGGCTGGAAAGGTTGACCCATGCAAACCTGATGAACAAGGAAAAGGACAAGATGTCGCACCTGGGTTGGAGCTATCCCAAACACAAATAACAGATGGTTGGAGAATGGATTGAGAGCATCCCTGAGGAGAAGGACTTGGGAGATGTTAATGGGTGAGAAACTCAACATGACATGACAGAAAACACAAGCTTGAAGCCCAGACAGCCAAACACAGCCTGGGCTCCTTCAAAGGCAGTGTGGCCAGCAAGTCAAGGGAGGTGATTGTCCCACTGTGCTCTGGTGAGACCTCACCTGGAGTGCTGCATCCAGCTCTGGGGCCCCCAGCATTAAAAGGATGTGGGCCTGTTGGAGCAAGTCCAGAGAAGAGCTTCAAGAATAATCAGGGACCTGGAACAACTCTTCTAGGATGACAGGCCGAGAGATCTGAAGTTGTTCGGTCTGGAGAAGAAAAGGTTCCAGAGAAACCTTATAGCCCTTTCCAGTACCTAAAAAGGGCGAACAAGAGAGCTGGAGAGGGACATTTTATGAGGGCATGTAGTGGAAGGACAAGATGTAACATCTTTACACTGAATTCATTTAGGTAGTAGAAGAAAATTCTTTTCTGTGAGGTTGATGAGGCACTTCAACAGATTGCCCAGAGAAGATATGGATGCCCCATGCCTGGAAGAGTTCAAAGCCAGGCTGCATGAGGCTCGTAGCAACCTTGTGCAGTATAAAGTGTTATTGCTTATGTCAAGGAGGTTGGAACTATATATCTTGAAGGTCCCTTCCTACCCAAACCCTTATATGTTTCTATGATTCTGTGAACTAGGAACATAGATAAATTAGACCTATTAAAAGAATCTGAGAGGAACTATCACTTGTCAAGAAGAGTAAAAGGCATAGACTCCAAGATGAAGTGAATGAGGCCCAGAAAAAGACATTTACAGTATCAGGCCTACAAACCTGCTTTTTCTCAGTTCTTCAGATGAATATAATTTTGACAATGAACTAATATTTGCACACTTCAAGGAGATAAGTGATTTGAACTCAAACGCATATTATCCCTTATTTTCCATGATTCTTGTTCATCAAAATTTCTCCAGATCTCACATTATCTTCTAGACTATAATTTATTCAGGGAAATATTAATAGTAAAAAAAATCTCTTCCCTTCTCTGTGAATAAAATGCTGAATCCTTCTCAAAGAAAATATATTAGACACCATTCAAGGCCCAGGCATGACTTATTTATAGCAATAAAGATGAAGGGACAAACAATGGCAAGGCTTCAAAAAATGAATCCTGTGCCTCTCTGCTAAGTAGAAGGGCTCCCATGAACAACATCCTAGTTCAAGCCCTGGCTCCTACAGCTTCTCCAAGCTGGATTTGCAAAGGCATGGACATCTATCTAAAACAGCAAACACACCTGCCCACCACTAGCCAATGACAGCTATGCACCCCTGTAGAAGTGAAAGTCTCAAATGCTAAAGAAAAAGTACCAGGGTCTCAGAAATAAACATTCCCCGAAAATCAGACTCTATCCTTATTCTGTCACATTGAGAAATGGCTCAATACTTTATGAACACTACAACCTTCCTTTTGTAGCAGAGACAGTAACTAAAGAAGGAGCAATAGCAACCTCTCCATTAATAATGGCTGGCATCTCCTGTAAACTTTTTGCATGAACAATAGTTCCAAGTCTCAGATATACAGAAAAGTCTGTTCATCCACAAATACCCATATACATTAAAAGTCCTTGACAAACATGGTCTAAAATAAATTAAACTAGTCCTTCAAGAAAGCCCTTATTTTTCAACTAGTGACAAATCATTCATTCATTTCATCCTCTAATGCCAGGTTAGAGCATGCACATCTAATGAAACCACTTTATATTGGTGCAGCTTCTGCATTTCCCAGATTTTCCCCTTGCTTTGAGCTCGTTAGCTTCTTCTTGCAGCCTAGACTTCTCTACATCCTGGACATTTATATATTCAGTGCTAGATCACAAGTGATGATGGAGAACATTTCACAATGTATGGGTCACACTGGGATATATCTGAATGGGCTGAAAACAAAAGGAGACTGGGACTAATTTTCCCAAGTAAAAATACAAATTTGTCTAAGGTGAATGCAGTTTGTTGGCCACAATTATTATCTGTGAGATTTTTGTATCCGTTAATATTGCACGCAGACTCAGGTTGCCCTGGAGCTTATGTGAGATGGGAACCTGCCTCTTAACTGATGGCTAATCAGAAGAGGCTGTAAAGCCCTTTCCCTCAACCTTCCCTCACAGCAGTGGGCTCAAAATCCCATAACATGGAATCTTCTGTACATTTGGGGTCAGTGAGTTCAAGACCCCATCGTATGTCCCATCAGTCCAAGTCCTGTGTAAGCTTCAGACACCGTAACCATCTTTCTCCTCTTATGAGCAGAGGTTCTTTTGTGTCTCAAGGGACATCTAGACTTCAGACGAGAGTTCAGTGTCCCAGTATTAATGGTTCTACGGTGTATGCCGTCCAGCTTTTTATTTTTGATTTGAAAAGGCGTGACTATAGACATTTTGTGTGTAAATGTTGAAGGAAAATGCTCTCAAAGCCAAAAAAAATTAGCATTCATTAATTCATTAAACAGCCAAAAATCAGGAAGTGCCACCACTGGCTTTTACAGTGCAATCAGATTCTACGCTCATGTGTGTACACATTATGATACATTCTGTAATTATGATTCTTTTTTTCCATAGGACCCCAGCTTTATTCAGTGCACAGTGTTCAGTGAATACAGCAGTTGCCCAGTATTTCTCTTCATCCTCATGCTTTATTTACTGCACATCCTCTGAACATTGCATTCAATATAGAGTTACTTGTTGCCTCACGGGTTTTGTGCTGATGCTCCCAAAACTAGTATGTCAGTGTACTGTAAGGATTAATGAATTTATGGTCACAATCCTCCTATGTACACACTAGGAGAGTGTCACTCCTATGTACACATTAAGAGAGTGTCATTAAACTATTTTATAGACTGAAGCAGAAAGACACTGATCTGCTTGATGTAAGACAGTAAGTCAGAGGTATATTGCATGAATCTACAGTGCCACATAATGCTGGCTTCCCCCCTGAAATCCCAAACCTACATCACTTGTGTTAATTAGAGTCACAACAATCAACACCAAGCACTTCCATAAATCAAACTTCTGGTCTTGTGACCTTAACATCCAGAAAGCCACACATTCAGTGATACCCTGGAAATGTCTGTCTGCCTTCAGTGTATCAGCTTGGAAGTCTGCAGCAGGCTAGATCCACGTCCTGCACGACCACTAACTGTGCAGATGATAAAGTTAACTTACACCTATTGCTATTTTCCTTCTTTGTCTGCATACAGACACCTACTGACATCTCAGGCAAGTGAAGAATACTCCTGGAAGATGTTTTCCCTCTCTACACATCCCAGAGCACAGTTTACCTCATGCAGAAGCAGAAACAGAGGTCCTGCGACAAGAATATACACAGTAGGTAGAACCATAAGGGGTTGCTTCATTAAAGACTCTAAGGCTATGTATGTGGCAACTAAAATTCTGTTAAGTTTTAAGGGATTTGGGTTTTAATTTTTCTTGTATAAGTGCATCTAAATCCTTCACCTGAAGAGGTCTTTTTGTAACCAGAAAGAGAGGAAAATTGGAAACTCCATGAAGTCTAGGAAGTCTATTGTACAAAGCTGATATATTTAGGAAATATTCAAATAACATATTGACCCCCACCTAAGGAAAATAATAAGATAATTCTTTTCCCCCCCAAAAAAAAAACCAAAAAAAAAACCAAACTGTAGAAAAGCAATTTGCAATTTGGCACACTATAATATCAGAAATCACAGTAGAAAGCAGCTAGATTGAAAATCATAGCAAAAAGGCTATTTTCCTGCTATGCCATCAAAGTGGCATCAGCTACAGTCTTGGGCTACGCTTATGCACAAGTAACCCGTGTCTATCCTGTTCTGCACAGTATTTCCCCAGGATCAAGAGCTCTAATTTTTCAGCAACTCCATCTGTTCTGATAAAGCCAGGAAAACACAGACTGTACCTTCCCCTCTGAAGCAAACAAAGCAGTGGAATCACTGTCCTTTGTGCAGAGGAGAACACACAAAGGAAGCACGTGGAAGAGACTTGTCATGGAATTGGACATGTCAGCCCAAAAAGAGATGTCTGCAGAGACAGTGCCTACACCTGAGCTAGTCTGCTAAGGCACACCTTAATATACTCACCAGAGGTCTATTTGCTTAAGTTATCTGCTTGCTTCAACTGACAGGTTCTGATGTGGCTGGCTGAATTGGAAATATGTGAAGATAAGCAAAATGAAACAGATGCCTAATTTCTGTAATTCAATCAGGCTAGGAAGGGAGCAAGCCTCCCAGCCACAGAGATCTGTCAGGTGCCAGGCACACACACAAGGAGAACACGAGGCACATGGAGAAATTAAATGTGGAAACAGAGGACCTGCAGCCCTCGGGCTTTAGTAGAGTTTGAGATGTAGCCAAGAGTCCTGTGCTAAGGTTTTGGAACTAAGTGCTTAAATTCCTCTGAAGTCTAACTTTAGAGTGAGGCATTAAGTCCCTTTTTTGGATCCAATTTTCTGACCTTGTATTTTTATAGCCTCTTGGTAGCAATTATAAACCAGCAATTAAATGTAAGAGTAGGATCATTACCCTTAATCATATTGGTAATGAAGTCTGAGTATTTGATTCAGGGAAATGAAATTACATACATTTCCTTTTGTTCTGTTACCCAATATCTAGTAATTTACATGTGGTCCTTGAATGTAGCTCTGTCTTTCTGTGGTTGCTCCTGCAGACTTGAGTATACAGATTTCTCTCTAACTTTAACTGGACTTTTGGATATGCAGGCAATATTGGACTGAACCACACATACTGGTAAAATTTCCAGAGTTCAGGGGTATTCATGCCAGCAGATACTCAACCCCGTTTCCTGTGTAGCTCCTCATAATTTTCTTTTCAGATGTTTCAGTTAAAAAAATAGGAGTCTGAGAAAAGCTACTCAAGAAAGAAAGGAAATTTTACTGACAATTTGTGAGGAAATCGTTACTGTGTTTATTTTTATCCAATTAAATTTAGAGTGATCTAGAGACTGCAGCCAAAAATGCCAGTGGCTATAGGGTCAAAGTATAAATTTTTTGAATTAAAAATAAATTTTCCTGCAAAGAAGAAGAAAAATATACCCAAAGACAAGAGAGAGAGGAAACTTCCCTCAGAACTGTCAATGATTTCAGAAAGCAATACAAGAAGTAGCCGCTGGAAAAAAAAAAGCTAATTAATGAAAGTGGAGAGGAAAAAATTCTCTTCTTAACAACCAAATTGCCAAAAGAACTTATCACTCTTTTCAACATGTGAACTGAATATGAATAGACAAAAAGTAAAATAATTAAAGCATATTTGTTCCTAAATGGCTAGTGGACAGTCTTCTGGTGAAGTTAATCTTTCAACACATACTGTTATGCTTTGTATTTTTTTCTGATAACTCTTACAGTATGTACTGCTGACAACCATATATCTTTGCCCATGTATCTTTGAGCTACAAAAAGAAAGGATTAATTTTCTTATAATAGCCTGTCTCTTACATAGTTATTGACAGGAAAAACAGGATGTCAGTTTGTGGTGCTGGCTTAGAGAAAAACAGCAATCATGATGTGGGAATATTGCACCAACTGCTTTCCTGTTTTGTTCCATGTCAGAACTCCAATAAATGCAAATGCTTTCAAAAAATACAAGGCTGAAAAAGGTATGTACAGGTTCTGACTCCAGTATACACAGCCAGCTGTAGACAGGAAAGAATAGAGATTCTGGGAGAATTTGTGGGAAGTACTGGGATATGAAACCACCCTTTGTCGCAAGGCTGATAAAGTTTAAATGCCATTTATGTGTCAGATAAACTGACTTTCAAACAAGACAACTGACTTTCTAACCTGATTCTTGTGACTAGTTTGGAAGTTTAGAACACAATTCACAGACCTTACAAAAACTTCAAACCAACAGTTTGTTTTGCTGCTGCTGATGAAACAAACGGCACAGGGGAGCAAGAGGATTCCCTAAATATACTTTTCAAGATCAGAGTACTGGATTACAACTATAAAGAATAAAACTATGGGAGAAAAATACATCTAACATACCACCCAGCAAAGACATGGAAAACACTCCTTAATCGCCTGAAAAATAAAAGCCTGATGTAGCGCCTTTCCTATTGATTTGAACAGACAACAGATCAGAGCAATCACATACAATCCCTAGGATGTTCCACTATGAAGGCTCCTTTATTCCTCCTGACATCAGGGAAAAATTATTATCTCTTTAAAAAAATAGGATACCAAACAAAATAAAACAAAAAAAAATCATATTATTATTAGACAGGTACAAAAGTAACTTCTAATTAACCATCACTAAGCTACAACTTGCTCTGTACAATTTGCATAAAAGCCAATGATAGACTCATAAGTGAAATAAAATGACTACAGAATAAGATGCACAGCTTTGATTCCTTGCAAGGAGAAAGTGAATAAGGTGCTTGAAAAAGTATTAAATACAGAAGAAAAAGCTATGTTCTAGCAAGGGGAAATACCTTGTTATTCACATTCCCTTTGGTAGTAGTTATTCTGAGTAGCGGTTAACACATGACTACAAATATTTATAAGTTTATTCATATCTCACTTTTACAAGATGTACATTCATATCATGTGATTCAACATAATACACTCCAAAAAATGGAACTCAACATGTCTGGCGAATTCATGTAGGAGCATGCTGGCATAATCAAGACCTAAAAAAAGGTTGTTTGCTTGTTTCTTTTTCTATTCCACAATAGCAAAGGGGTACAACCTTTTAAGATGAGTTAGGTTGAATGTTTTTTTGTTTGCTTGTTTCAATTTAGCAATCCCTGAAATGTCTGTAATTCAGACACACTGTGAGTACATATCCAAAATAATGCTATGGTACTGCAAATCATACTGGCTAGTCATACTTCTGCAAAAGCAACAGGGTTTTAAAATATAAAAATAAATGGAAAGCATTGTCAAATTTACACTCAACATAATTAAAATAATACACATTTAGAATTTTCAAACAAAAAATAAATAAAACATCCACATACATTAATACAAAGAAACAGAGATATTTGCCTGTCTTTGATGTAATTAATACATACCATAAGCCTAGATTCATGAAAGTATTGTCTTTCAATAAATATCTTCAGCTTCAAAATCTGATATTTTCTACATTCTCCAACTGATTTTAGTTATATATCAATTTTCAATATAAGGTGTATGAACTACGTTGCGTTTCAATTATTTATTGGAAATCAGCAAATTTACTAAAATTAGGAACCAACTTTTACCATCAAATCTGTCTAACAGAAAAAATTAGAGGGATATCTGGCATCACACCCCTTTTGAAGAATGCCTCAAACACCAAAGCCTGTGGCCTCCCACTGACCCAGCTAGAAAAGCCAGCCAGCAAAAATAACCAATACCAAATTAGCCACAGCATTACACTGACAGGGCCCATGTTGTACCTTTTAAAGAAGTGGATTCGGAGATGCCATTTTACAAGCACGAGGCATAAAGCAGAAGGCTCTATTCGCCTCTGAAGGAGAAGAGATCACACTCTGCAGCACATCGCACTTCTTTTTATTTTTTGTTTTAGTTTCCAAGCAATGCCAGGCCTTCTCCAGCCCTATCACATCTAACTGCAATCAGTAGAGATTTTCAAAGGACCAAATGAGAAGCTGTTGCCATGTTATCCACAGCTGTTTGAAAACTTTTTTGCCATGAAAATGCTGTCACATCAGGGAAAGAAAGCAACATAATGTGGGGAGAAGGTTGTTTACAAATGAAAAGTGGGGCACTTCAACCATCCTTCTTAAACAGGAACACAAAAAAAATTTCCAACCATATTGGCTGTGTGCACTTTATAGAGTTGTGTAAAATTAGCATTAACAAGAACACCACCTGGATCATTAGCTATTAGATATTATAAAAATAAACGCATTTCTAAGAAAGACATGTCATCTCTTTTTCCTATATTTTAAAAGTTTTCCTCAAACTGAAGGGGAAAAAAAGCCTGCCATCTTCAATCAAATAATGCCTCCAAAAACTAAAATTATCTGTTTTTAAAAAAAAAATTACTTTGCCTAGCACATTTAAACAAGCAGAAAACATGCGTATTTTTTGTCACAAAAAAAAAAAAAATCCATAACCTGGGCTTGCCTTAGGGACCTGGATTTCTGTACTACTACATGTCTATTTGATTTGAGTCAACAGTCCCAATGTGTCAATGTTATGTCAATTCAAAATCATGTCTTATTATTATTTTATAGGCAAACATAGGACTAAAAGACATAGCAGATAAAGCATGCAAAGAATTGACATCTGTACACTTGGTCTGTGTGAAAAATTTATAGTAGGGGAAGTTGAAATCAGAGTTTCCAAGCAATTTGTGCATGCTGTTGGGAACTTGGAAATTTGGTTTTAGTCTTAGCACTGACACAACTCGGCCCCATTGAGTCATAAACAAAATTCCCACTGACAGACAGGGTCAGAGAATTGGACTGTAACTTCATGTTCTGTGGAAATAACTTACAGACACATTCTGACACTCCAAAACACATTCCAAGTGCCCTTTAAAACTTTTGCTGAAGTTGGATACAGAGTTTAAATTTCAAGGAGCCCTGGCTATGTGAAAGGTTGCCTACCATCACAAAGCTCATGTCAGATTATGATCTGGGGGATGCTGCTACATTATAAAAACAAAAATAATCATACTCACTGCTGACAAGGGGTGATGGAACCTGGCCCTTCATTTATATGCCTTAATGTCTACAAAAATGGGGACAATAATCTTGCCTAGTTCATAATGGGTGAAGATTAAATAAGACATTTATACAGTGCTTTGCAAATGAACATTATATAAGTGCTAAGTATTACGATATTAACCAAAATGTCACATCTATATGATCCTACAAAGCAAAAAAACTTTCAGTATAATTTTTTCACATATTTCCAAGTCAAGAAAAATGAGCCATGGAGTCAACTGGCTATTTTGGTTCAATGAATGAAGCATTTTAACTTATTTGACAGTATTTTAAAAAAAACAGAATCTATTCTTAATCTGTTCTTTCCATTATAAAGGGGCCCATTCAAGGCATGATGCCTTTTTTATAGTCTTGCTTATAAACATCATTATTCATTTGGCATTCATTCAAGTTATTTTTCAAATACCATACAAATCTTCTGAGAAAGATTCTTTAGCAATCCATATATGCTAAATGAAGGCCTTCTCTAAGGAAATTCTGCTCAAAGGCTGCTGTTTTAATGATCTTGGAAATCCCACTTCTCAAATCAAAGATTACACAAAGATCAGGCTGGATGACGACGGACAGTAAATGAGGTTTGGCATGCCTGAGAATCTCAAACAATTACAATACTTTTAAACTTTAATAAGCACCTCAGGACCATGACTATGTTATCTTCAACCTCTAACCTACTTAAGAAAACAATTAAAAACAAAAACAAAACAAACAAACAAACAGAGACCACACATTAACAGAGATGGAGTAGATGCTTTGGTCCAAATCCCAACTTGTATGGATCACTGGAGCTCCACACGATGAATGGAGCCACAGTGACTTACACTTAGAGAAAAGTCCAGTCCAGTACGTGGTAGGCCAGGTAGGATGCCTCATTTCTTCCCAGTGATGTAAAGATGACAAGAAGAGGAGGTCACCTGCGCGTATCATCCAAAACAAGGCAAAGCTTTTACACCCCCAGCAATGCAAGTGGCCCATTCAAGAAAGCAAAGCAGACCCAGTTTTGGCAACAACCCCTACACAGTGCAGCTTTTCGTTTCCTTTCATGCTAAATGAAAAACAAGAGCAGCATGAATCACCTTGGTAGATTCCCAGCAGCACCCTGCCCCTCTCCCCAGGCTGAGCTGTGGTACCTCCTTCAAAGCATCCTAGGTTGATAAATCTTTCCACCTTCTTCCCTTCTGTGGTAGAGAGCAAGACTGTCCTTGAGACATCCATTGAAAGCACTCAGAAAAAAAGTAAGAATATTTCATTCTGGAAAGATGTATGCTACACTACTACCCTTGTTTCATCTTAGCAGGGAATTGTATTCATGTTGCCGCTGTGTTTTGAATACCATAAAGAAGTAAAATTTCTGAGAGAAATGTACAGGCATTTTTTGCTGTGTTTGTATCTAGTAGAACAACAAAGGCAGAAAGTTATTCCTTCCCATACAATGCGGATGCATACTGTATGTGTATCCTGTAACATTTTGAGATTGGTAGCGCTTCTCAGCATCTCGCTTGGATGCCTGAGAAAATTCACATCCCAATCCTACAATTTCAACAAGTTCACCCTATGGAATTATTTGAGGGTAAAAATCACTCCTTTCTGAAAGTCCTGCATTGTTTTGCAGGACTTCAAATTAAACATGTAAGTCTCTCTCAAATCCTTAGAAGAGGATTTGAAAGGCTAACAATTAGATTAGAGGTACAGATAACAAGCAGTCCCCATTCAGTCAATAGCTCTATGACTTTGGTCTCAAACGCTGTGTATCTAACTCTGCTCCCATGGCTGTGGGTGCCCAGTACAACTTACTTACTTCAGTTTAAACCATCTCTAATGTTTATTATTTTTCAGATCTGCATTTTAGAAGTGCTAGAACCACTCCAAATATTTCTCATTTTAGCCAGAATTTCATGCATGATCATGAATAACATTTTACTTTCCAGACAATGTTTTTTTTCAATAACAAATTGTTAGTTGCCTGAGATTCAGTCTGTATTTCTCAGCAACAAGTATTCATATTCTACCTTCATATTTTGGCCTTGCTTTAAAAAGGTCCTAGACTTTCACAGGGAGGTAAAAAAGACAGGCAACTTTTATCAGCCCCAGCAAATCCAAGACATTAACTACTTCTCACATAATAAATAGAAGGGAAATGGCACAATTTTGACGTTCCAGAAATTTTCTTTGCTAGAAAATATCAAAATTTGAAGGAGAAAAAAAAAAAAAACAAAACCCAAAAAAGAAGAAAAGTCTCCAGAAATTATCCTAAGCATGAATTTTTGTCCTACAGTAATATTTTGGATTTGATAAATATCAGCAAAAGCCAAAACTAGTAATGGATTGCTAAATGAGACATAAAAAGCAGGCCTAATAATGGTGCTATTCAGAGGATAACCTTCCATCAACACAGACCTTGGTAGTAAAGGCAACAAATAACTATCTTGTTAGATGAAGACAAGACCACTATTTGTACCTTCCTCTCTCCTCCCCAGCAAAAAATTTTTTTAAAACCCAAACCAAATTAGAAGTGAATAACAGAAAAAAGTAAAACTGGGGAGGAGGGTCAGTAAACCCAGACACTTTGGTAATACGATTTAAAGGACTTCTCTGCTCTCCATCCTTGCTGGATTTGTAGTAGTTTCTTTGCTTACACATTAGCTAAATACTTGATGTCCAAATCACAAGCAAAAATTAAAATGGCCAAATATTGAACTTGTCCTCTTCTACAGAACACTTCTATGGGTTGTTTTAACTTGTTTGGGTTTGTTATTGTTTTGCTTTTTTACCTAAAATCCTGTGAAAGTGTCATACAGATTTTTGAGCTTGCTTCTGAGAAATATGGCACATTAAGTTGACTAGAAATCATAGTGTCTCCCTTTTCCGTATGTGATACATATAACTTTATCATTCCTAGAAGACTCGGACTGTCATTTTGGCAAGGAGCTGCAATGCACCAGTCTGAGCATAAAGGATTTAAGTTATGGATCTTGCAGAATTGGTTAATAACGGAATAAGTACGGCTATTTTTTTTAATCTATAATATTTACAGTATTGCACTTTACTGCACTTAATTGCATTTCACTAAAATTAATGCTGCATCAGTATTATGCCTTAAAACCATATGTCCATCTTTGTTGTATAATTCATTCTTTCTACGTCCTGTAAAACAGTGAGATTCTGATTCAAAGATCTAGGCATTTGGGGGGAAAAAATGAAAATTTGACCTGTTTCTATGGCACAACACATCTCTTTGAGTTCACATAATTCTGGCAAACAGGTGCATTTCTTATTGTTCCCATCTTTCAAGTTATCGCTAACAATTAGTAAATTCTAGTCTCTTTTTTTTCTCCTTTCAAAGGACATAGCCATTTGAGACACACACTTTTTTGTTATTGCTGCTCTTTTTTTTTTTTTTTTAGGAAAGAAAAGAAGGAAAATAAAAATCTGCCTTGCCTCAGATCTGAAATTCCACAATTAAATTCAAACCAGTTCTGCAGCAGCAGCTCCTCAGTGATGGAAGAGATTCATGGCAGTGAAATAATACTGTTGGCAACAAAGAAATGTCATCTTTAATGGAGACCAGCCCCAAGGATTTATTATTTATTATTATTACTATTTGTTTTGCTTAGTTTTGTTCTAATATATTTCTGATCTTCAAAACGTGTTTAGTTTGACACATGCACAAGGTAGCAAAACTGACAGCAGCAGATGACGTTATGCTGGAGCGATCACTTTTGCCAGGGTCAAAAATCCAAAATGTCCCCAATGTTCACAGATTAACATAATTTAGAGATAGTTTCCTTTTTTTTTTTTTTTCTTTTCTCTTTTTGTGATTTTTTTTTTAACTCTCTTTTCTCTCTCCTCCCACCTACTTTGTCCTCCGAAGAGTCTCTGACCGGCGGGTGCGCGTTTGCTGCTGCCGTGTGTTGTGTCCGGGGCCCCGCG